CGCGTTTCTGAAGTTTGCACTATTGACTACAGCTGACTTCTCATCTCTGTGACCTCTGGTCTGATAGTGCTAAAAAAACAACTCTGTAGTTTATGTCAGACCTGTTGTTTATCTTTAACAGAAGTTATAATTAGAACAGCAAAAGTATTAAGATAGCAACAGATAGCTTTAATGGCTGGTAACTTTAATGGCTTTAATGCTTAATGCCTATAATCTATCTAATATAACTAATCTATAGCAATAGATTTTACTACCAGGTAAATCTTTTTGACTTATTAGCAAAGGATTTGTGGCTGCAGGGGAGCATGGTGACTGAAATGAAGAGTGCAAAAGCATAACTTTACAATAAATGTTTAAGTCCCAAAATGTATATTTACACATTTGAACTTTGTTCTTAAACTTGAGATGATGCATCAAATGAATTAATTTCTTGTTATATTAAAAAAGAAATATTTATTTGAATCATGAATAAATATTTCAGATTTTACTTCCTGATTACTTTCAGAAGACACAATGAATGTTTTTCATGACTCCAACCTTATAGATCAAACCCACTCAGTGGGACTCTACTTAAAACTGCTATCTAATAAAAATATGTTTATCTAATTTTACCAAATATTTGTTTTGAAACTTGAGGATTCAGTCTTATTAATGATGCGCTTTTTCAAATATTTTCATGAAGGTTTCACTAGAAGGAGATATCTCTTCTATATCAGTCCCCAAATCTATTGCACCACCTCAATGTCACTTGCATTTCTCTCTCTTGCAGATTTACATCGAATATAATTAATAAACTACTCTTATTGGGAAAACTAAAAAAATCCCAAGTTTATTTGAATATGTTATCCTGGCCTAGGCAAGACTCTCTGCTGGCCTGCCATTAGGTGTTGTTGAAATGTATGTTTTTACTTTTACTATTGTGTCTATTAGTTAACAGTAGTAATTAGTGCTGCTAAATCGTGGGAAAAAATAAGAGAAAAGACAATGAGGAGAAATGTATTGATACAATTACTTAGCTCAGACCTTTACAGGAAACATAGTGCTTAATTTTAATAGATCTGCATGAACAGGAGTAAAGAAAAGGTCTGTTTCCCCCCAGGCCTAAAACTGGTGGTGGAGTGGAGATAGATGAAGCTGGTCAGTCTGTAGACTGCTGGTTAGCGAGACGGTCTGCTGAGCTTTATGGGGAGATCCAGTGGACTGCGTGAGCTGATACTAGAGCTTCACTCAGGGACTTGGAAGATGGAAGTCCAGTTGGATCACACAGGTTGAGAGAACCTGCCCATGATGAGCAAGCATGAAGTGACAGTGGAGAGGAAAAACTCCCCCTGGGGAAGAAACCTCTGGTAGAACCAGGCACAACATGGCGGTCTTCTGCCGGACCGTTAAGATGAAACAGGGAATGCAGTAATAGTCTGAAAGGAATGAGACTCTGATGAAGCTTTAGCTATGATGTTGGAGGAGGGGCTGGAGGTGGGTTTAAAGGGGGTCATCTCAATGAAGTCACACAGCGCCCACAGCCTGCGCACAGGAGCAGACAGTGCGGATCTGAGGCCTTTTAAGATGAACTTTGGATGCTGATTGGCTTTCATGGAGGTGTGGTTCAAAGCTGATTGGCTGTGTCGCCGGTGAATGTAGGAAAGCAATGAGTTTCTTCAGTTGAACTTCCACCTAAATATCCCATCCATTTATTAAACGTTTAGCTAACTGTTTTATTTTTGAAATGCTTTTTAATAGAACGAAGTTTAACTATCAGACATGAGTATGAAATCCTGGACAACTTTTTTTTTATCTGTGCCTTAAGTTCTGGTATGTACCCACAGAAATAAGCTGACAATCTCTCCTATTGGCTAAAGGAGGGTTACACCCTGGACAGAGCCCCAGTGTATCACAGGGCAACAAAGAGTCATGACCTATTTACCAAATGTTATTTTTTCTTTGGGAGGTGCTTGATATTTTACTTATTTGCTGTTTGTCCTGAGACTTCACTCCAACCATAAAATAATTTGAACCCAATCTAATTTATGGTGCATTTACTCTATTGTTTTAAAATAAAGACAGATGAGTGTATCAAGATTTTGTAATTATCTGAAAAGTTACCAGTTATCTTTTAAGTGGCAAAACATAAATAAAAGTATGTTTAGATAACAAGTATGTAATGCCTGCCACATTTTTTTCTTTTACTTTTATTTTTCTTCTTTGGTAGAACAAATCCTTCCTAGATAAATTAAGTATTGCTTAAAATGGTGCCAGTTCCTCTTAGCTTTTTCTAACATAGCCAATTAGATATCTACCTGACTAAACTAAATGATATCTTGTTTTTTTTTCATTTAAAAAAATAATGTTAAGGTGTTTTATTTAGTCATCTTTTTTATTCTTCTAGATCCAGTTAGGCTTTGTGAAGTCACAAAGTGTTCTGAGCATGTTTCTGTAATCGGATTATTTATGTGCAAGTGAATCTCTTTGATAAATGAAAGAAATTTTGACAGTTTAAAAAATTTTTTTTTTTTACAATAGTAAAATGGATTTACATACAAATGGACAATTGCAATATTGCATGGTGACACTATGTATAGCATTGCTTTCTTGCAGAAAGAAGGTTTTGTGATTGATTTCCAGCCCGAGGTCTTTCTGCATGCAGTTTGCATGTTCTCCCCGTGCATGCGTAGGTTCTCTCCTGGTACTCCAACTTATTTTAACTGTTATGTTAACTGGCTTCTCCACATTGTCTCATTGTCTTTGTGCAGCTCTGTGTTGCCCTGCGACCGACTGGTGACCTGTGCAGGATGTACCCTGCCTCTCGCCCATAGACTGCCAGATTTCATCTGCTGCTCATCAGTTTCAACTCAACGTGGCAGACCTGGATTTTAGCAAGCAAGTAACAGTGCTCTATCCATTATGGAAAGCTGAACAACAGCATAGGTGTCCTGGGGTTTACCAGATTTCCCCAGGAGTTATTGCTGGATCACTAGCCACAGCACTATCGTCTGATAAGGACCCAAAACTGCTATGTCGCTTCAGGGGGAAGATCACCGGGACAACAGCAGTAAAGAGAGATGGCCTTCAGGAGCTCAGACACAGACCAGGCAGAGAAGTGTTTTGGGAGGACAGTGGGAAATCAGAGCAAGAGGTTGAGCAAAAATTGGGCAGAGATCCGAGACCAACTATAGAGCTACAAGACGAGGACTATGATAAAACATTTAATAGTCCTTTTGAAAAAAGAAACCAAAATACAGCCACATTCAAACCGCTACATATTTTTTTGAAGGATATGTTGTATCTTCATTCAAGATTTGTCTCCACTGAGCTACTTCACCGTATGTCAGAGCCGCATTTATTCTCTTACTGATTGTGGGACTAAAACCAAGAGACGTTCATTTGGGGGTTTGTCTCTTGCTTCACTTTACTTGTCCTACTGTATTTGCTAGCAACGTTTTCTTTGGATCACTTTGCATCACTCAGCTCCTGAATAAAGCATTAACATACTTAGGGACTCAGAGGGATAACATGTTTTTTTTCTTTTTTCCTCATCTAGACTGACATTTTGGGGTTAATTTGGCTTTGCAACCTACAGTACCTAAAATTACTCTAATTGGATGGATTTTCAGAGTTTGACTGGACCTTTCTAACACAGAAATATTTTTTTGATCCTAAGCTATTTTAGCTCCCAGTGTATGTTCTGAACCCTTGTCCTACTTAAAGGTGAGCTGTCCTTTTAAAGAAACATTTTCAGAACCATTATGCTGCCAGCTGCCAGCAACGCTCCTTCCAGTGAATGTCAATATTAGTTTATATTGTGATTAACTGGCTACAACTGGCTGGATTTACACGTCGCACTAAAAAGAGGAAGTACCTGTGCATCATCAGGGACAAAATGGTGTTGTACTTCCATGCTGTTGTGTCACCTGGTCATGCACCAATTTTAGTAAAATTCTGTGTGACCACCTCCGCACAATTTCTTTCATTATGACTGACATGCAGGCATTAAATATACATTTTTTAATATATATTTTTCTTTAAGAATTGAAGAGAGAAAGTAAGAGGAAACCAAACAAAAAAGGTTAAAATGTAAAATTGAATTACAAAGATAGACACATAGATTTGTTTTAAATTGCATCTATATAGAGTTTAATATCCTTTAGAAAGAGGTTACAGGCAATTTCCCTTTCATAATGTTTACCTTATGCATCTAAATCTTGGAAAGAAAGAGACTTGAGTTGAGTTGGATTTTTTTTTTCATTAGGATATATAGCCTATTTTAGTATGTGAAGTGTTTCTTTTCTCATTTCCACTGGTTATGATGTGTACTGTCTTTCGTGTTTTCTGTGTTTCGGTGAATACCGTAAAAAACCATCAGCATAAAGTATAAAAGCCTACATCCATTTTCAGGCAAGTGATCAAAGCGAAACTCCTAAGAGCGACAACATCTCAGGTGTGAAGAAATGTCAGTGAATTTTATGAAATTGTAAATTTTCTTTTCAATCTTTTTCTATTCCATTCAAACATACACCTTATTTTGGTTACTGTAAGTATATAATCTATAGAGGTTTTAGATGAAAAAATGACAGGCACTAGGAGTGAAAGACAAACCCTATGCACCGCTCTCTGCAGAACATGATTGTAAATGGCAATCCTGAGAAGAATTACTGGAAGGTGACATTGACCCTGACACCACAGACGCGCTGCAATGAAGGAACCCTGCTGATTTTATTTTCAGCAATATACATTTTTCTACCTGCTGGGGTGGCTTTGAGTCACCAGAACTGCACTGTCAGTGTGCAAAGTGCCTTAAATCTAAGAGGGAATACTCGAGTGACACAGTCCGCTGTTGCATGGAAATAAATGGCACTGGGGCTGGAATAGGGAGCAGAGCGCATTTCCTACATACCTCCCCCCTGTTCCCTCTACTCGCTGCCTTCCCCCTCCCACTTGGGGCTTGCCAGCGCTAAAAGCATGTTCTTCTCTCTCGCCTCTCTACCTTTGACATACTCTCTCACTTCTCTCTGCTACTCCCTCAGTCAAAGACAGGAGTCTCAGAAAGCAGCTGATGCTTCCCGTAATCCTCGCTAAGCATCATTTCATTGATGCTTTCTCTGCGTGTCTTTCAGCACTTTTCCATGGAACTGGATTTCACAGCTGCTGAGGTGACATCAGGTATCTGAATGCTACAGAGGCACAAGGAAAGAGCAATTGGAAGATAACTTTCCACGCTGCAATCCTTCATGTCCTCAGAGGAAGAGTGTTTGTTTTGTAATGCATGCCCCTTAAGGATATTTTTCCCTCATCACAACTGCTGGAGAAAGATTTCCCCCCATTTTTTGACCACAACAATTCATTTGTAAGTTCAATTTTCTGTAGAATCTATGGGGACTTTTTCGGCGTAATATTCCTGCCGTACCTGGAAAGTTTGGGACAAGACATGTCTGATGGAACCAAAGCTGTCTATTGAAGCAGTTTTTCTAAGACTGTCCAGGTATGAGTGTTTCATTTCAGTTTTTTTAGTTTGCTGACTGGTTTGTCTTGTTCAATGTAACATCTGTATAAGCACGCATTAAGGGTATATAATGTTTTTATAGGTGAGCAATTCAAAGAGATTTCCACCAAAAAGGATTTCTTTCTGGTACCATCTAAAGAAGAGGGAACTTCAGTGCTTAGAAAATGTTTGCTCCTCATCAGATTTCTTACTGCTTTGCTTTTGTCATAACTAAATATTTAAGATCATAAAAATAGTGGAAAAATCAGCCAGAAATAACCTACTATCGAAAGAAAAATTTAAAGGGAAACAACAAATTCCAAATCAACATTTTCCTGTGTGAAAGGTGTTTTCTCTTATGGATAAATGATGAATGGACAATGATAAGAAACATCTGGGTTCAGTTTCATAAGCAGAGCTGATTAGGACCTAGCCAGAGGGACCAAATCTGTTCAACAGGAAGCTGTCTGACAACACAAGCTAAGAAAACAATCTGGAAAACCAACTCATTTTAGTTAATTTGAATTCATTAGTTACAGGTCAGTTTTGTAGCCTTTGGTACTCTACGGGATCTCAGTATGCATGTTTCCTTTAACGATCAAACTGAGCAAATTGTTTTTGTGAAAATATATAATCTAAAGAAAAATACAGCACTTTCGAATATAGTTTTGGTTTTTACGCTTTGATGAGGTGTTGTTTTGATCACAGGAGTCATGTGATCTGCAGTTGGACCTTACTGCATTCTAAAAACACCAAGAAGAAGATCAGAAGTAGTTGGAGGATGTTGGCACCCACTAGAGGCATGGCTGAAACATGTTTACATCTGATGTGTTTACATCCGCCACTGCCATGTCCTTTTCAGTGATATCACGTGTACAAACATTTTCATATACTATTATAATTTAATTTGTTATTTAATAGAAATACTGCAATTACAGAGCTTTGGATTTTGGAATTTATTAGGAAATTAATACAATTTCGCACAAACTTCCAATGGAAACAAAACTTGTGAGAGCCAACCATCCACAAATGGAAAAAAATATACTTTCTACCAAGCTTGTGGTCTTGGAGCCCCATCCACCCTTTTATTGATATACCATCTACAGCCTGAGCTCCTTAGAGAGCTCTTTCATCTTGCCCATGATGGCTGATTGATTGGAAAGGAAAAGGTTTTTTCTGTTAACGGGTATGCTTCATAAACATTAGTTAAAATCTGAGGTTTTCTGCTGCCTAACCTGTCTGACTGATGGCATTTAATTTTGGCATCTAATCAATATGTAGAAAAAGGGTCCTGGCTTCTTTTCTTCTAAAAGATCAAATACTATATTTTTTCCAAAAATTCAAATCAGCTTCCAACTTTTATGTAATTTGTTTTCATTAGTAAAGCACCAGATATCAAAGCGGGCTGGTTTTCCCTCGATCAGAACAGATCAGTCATTTTCAGATCAAATCCTGTAATATTATTTTAACCTTGTTTATTAAATGCAACCAAACTATGGATCTCTCACACATTTCCTAATATAAATGCACAAGTTAACCTTTATATACTTTGATAAAACAGTTTCAGGTAAAATAAAAATCAAAAAATATTTAGGGTTCATTCTGTGATGCAAAAATTGAACAAAATGTTCAATGCATCTAAAACAACAACCTGTAGAAATCTAAATCTACAGGCTGGCTGGTGTATCTCTAGCTTTTATTGTAGGTTAAAGGTTAGTCTAATGTGCTTTCTCTTTGTGAAAGCACAAAGTATCAGGTGAATAAATATATGGTCTATACTTCTATATTAAAATACCTTGTCATTCTAACTTGGCATGCCTAATGTTAAATTTCACTGAAACTAAACAGATCAGTCCTTGAACTTTCACAGTTTGTTTTTATTCGGTTCTGTATTTTTGTTAATAACAAAAGCCTGACTGAAAAATAGCAGTTATATCTTGTTCTGTTTGATTATTCCAACAATAAAGAAGTGAAAGGATGCAACAACTGGACCGCATATGTTTTCAAAGATCAAAATGATTACTTTGGTTACTGCATTTTTAAGTAATTTCCAAAGTCCGTTTTGAACGAGTTAATAAATATCTCACACCTTGTCTTGGTGAGATTAGATTAGGTTTAGTTGATTTGGACTAATTCTAATGCTTATAATCAAAGTTTATCCTCATCTGCAGCTTTCTAGCTCACACCTGACGGTTTTGGGTGAACTGTTTGGTTTTGGCTTTAATGACTGAACTACCAAAAGTCTAACTTCCCTCAATACAAGTAAACCCAAACCATGAAAGTGCTACAACTACAGTATGAGCATAAACTACGACTACAACTACGAGGATCGCATATGTTACAGTTTTCTATTGTGTGTTCTCACATGATTTTCTTCTAAACCTAAAAATATGTCAGAAGCTAAATTGGACCGTTTAACAATGACAAGGTTTTGGTTTGGATTCAGAGATGACTTATCGTCTCATGCAAAACACAATTACTAATCAGACATTCCAGCAGCACCTTTAAGATTTCTGCTCCTGATATATCAGCCTCCTTGGTTTCTGTCTTATCTTTTCAGCAATAATAAAAGAACATCCTGTTTCACAGTTTTTCAGAATTTTCTTCAGCCAATGTTTCAGTGGCATGTAGACTGCCAAAAATCTTTCTGTACCATTCTGCTGACTAATTACTTTCTTCTTTCTATTGTTTTTTTTTTCCTTTACAAAATGAAGGTTATATTTTATGTTGGGGAAGCAAAGTTTGCATTAAAACATTTGGACAAATAAACATGACAAATGAACTTGTTGACCTTGTAATAACTCCTTTATTTTAAAATAAGAATAAAGTTCATCTGCTTGCACAACAAAACATTACACAACATGGATAGTTGATAAACATACAGACATTTTGTCTGCACAAACAGAAACATCACTTTTTTGTCAAAGTTAGTTTAACACATTTAATATATAAAGTTAATATTTAAAAAAAACTTCAAGGATATGCTCCTTTGGGAAATTAAAGGAGAAGCTATTCTATATAAATAAGTGTCAAGCAATTTGATACAACATGTAAGATACTTTTAGAACTTCCTTCTGTGTTGCATGCACAAAATCAGGTTTGATCAAAGGAAAGTGGTGGCTTTTTGGGGTAATGTTCTCTGAATATGAGAAATGCAGGTTACTAAAAGACAAATGTATCTGCTTCTTATTCTATGTCTGTTTCTATCTCCCTGAACCCCAGTCATCCTCAGCAGATGGCCGCTCACTCTGAGCCTGGTTCTGCTGGAGGTTTCTTCCTGTTAAAAGGGAGTTTTCCTCTCCACTGTTGATACAAGCATGTAGTGTGAGGGATTGCTAAAGAGTCAACAACAAGATGCAAGAGAATATCATCAACACAAGCTCATCCAGGAGGAGCACGACTTGCAAGTCTAGGACTCGGTTTTCTTTGATAGAAGCTTTTAACCAATCAGATTATTGTCTCTACAAAGTGCCTTGAGATGACATGTGTTGTGAATTGCTGCTATATAAATAAACTGAATTAAATTGTTTTAAAAATACTTATGCAGTCAAGAGAAACTGAAGTAATATTGTTTGACCAAAATAAAAAGGAAAATGGTTGCTTGCAAGTCTAGATAAACAGCCTGTCTCTCTGGTACACAAGTGACAGCATCATGTGTGGGAGTTTTGCTGCTGAAACCACTGGTGCACTTAATGAAAAGATTCTCTCAAAAGAGGAGAACATTTTGTGGAAATGTTAAAGCAATATCTAATCATATCATCTAGAAGGTTAAAGCCTAATGCTACGTTCACACCTAAAGCAGCAGAGGAAGCAGAGGCAGCTAGTTTACATGCAAAGTCAATGGTTGATGCGCATAAAGGAGCAGCAAAAGGTCCTGTAGCACGTTTTGAGCAACAGGAAGAGCGCGTCTGAGCAGCTGAAGCAGCACATTACGAGTTTCTGATCAGCTGACGTGCATGAATCGCTTGAGAAGCAGCAGCTGGAGATTGAAAAATTCAACTTTTGCTGAGCGACGTGCCACATGAACCAATCAGAGAAGGTAGTCTGGGAGCTGGCAGGGAGACAAACACAGCACTGCTACTCCAGATCACTATGATTACTCCTCTGAAACAGTTTATTAATATCTAAATTAACTTAAAATGCTGAAATCTGCTGGCAAACATGTTCGATTTTCTTATACTGGTGCCTGCAGTTTGGATAACGTAGATGAAAAACCCCTTCCAGCTGCAAACAGTAGCGGCAAACCACGAAGAGGTAACCGGCCAGAGGCTGCTGTTGAATGGGATTCCTAGTGACTGTGACTCTGACAGCGAAATAATATTTGAAGGCAGGATGGTAATCTTAATAAACTGTCTGCACAGATTAAGTGTTCAGGTGGACTTTCTCACACTGCATGAAAAGTGAGATTTTCCTCCCCGTAAACCCCCGTAAACTCCCGCAGATCTGCCTGATTTTCGTCAGTTTCCGACAATTTGCAACCCGTGCTTGTCCGCGTTTGTCGTGCCACAAATTGTCGGAAACGGACTCTGACGTATGTGGAGAGCGATCAGCTTTACTAATGGCCCTAATTAGCATATGAATGCAGCAAACCCGCGCGGCTGGCCAGGTCTGGCTTGAATAACCTACTCAGTATTGGCTGAAACCACTATTCTCAAACAAATGAAATCGCTCGTGATTGGCAGCAAAACCACACGTGGCCACGCCAGGCTTTAATTTTCTTACTGAGTATTGGACGGAACCACTTCTTTTTAAACAAGTAAAGTCGCTCGTGATTGGTTGGCATATATATATTTACATATATATATTTATTCATATATATATATATATTTATTCATTCATATATATATATATTCATATATTTATTCATTCATATATTTATTCATTCATATGCTGTGTATTTATGTTATCCTACACTACTACACAATTATTATGTTACCATCAAGGACATGAATTAATTTATACAGGAAATGAAGATTTGCCAGGAAGCTGTTTATGCAAAT